CTAAATGTGCAAGAAACAAAAATGGTGAAGGATAATACAGAATGTAAGCTTTCCTTCTGTTGAAATTAGCTGATATCCAGCAGTTACAAGTCCAATTGTCTTGGGATAACTAGTTTTCTGACGATTTGTCTTGTTGCGCATTTCATATCACTGTGTTCATTGGGAGCTGAAATTTCAAGAATCGCTTAATTCATCCTTACCGGTAGGTGATTGTTTCTGTGCCTTTAGACACATTCGTGCCTTTATCGTATTCAAATTCATAAGCATTTTGGTATTATGCGGTATTAAACCTGCGAATATTCCTGAACGTGTAAAAAATGTTTTTTATTGATATGTAAGTACACGGTTTTCGGACGTTTAGGGCAGTCGACGAAGGATGAACACGATCTGAAGGAAATGGAGCTAGCGAATTCGGGACTGGCTTCGGCAATAATACAAGTTTATTGGAGTACTATCCTGAATTCGTATTACACTGACTGTAGTGATGTACGAATGGATGTTGTCAGGGTAAACCTTTTAAAATATATATGTTTCAGTGAAATAATGTATAGACAGAGAGCCGAAGAATTTTTTCTTCTTTTCTAGCCGAAGAACCTCATTAGTAGATTTTTTTTACACGTTTTGCGCTACGTAACAGCAACACAAAGCGCATACTGTCACGTCTGTGTACGTGGATGTGTGTATCCGTGTGCATTTCGTCCCGCATTTCCAACTTGAGAACCACGAAAATTAGGAAGCTGAAATTTTGATGAAATGTTTCTCGCCCACATGCGATCCCGCAGGCTCAAATGTGGCCTGCGGGATCGCATGTGGGCGAGAAACATTTCACTAAAATTTGCCGCGCATTGCCCCGCGAAAGGTTTGGTGGGGAAAATTACTACCTCGGGAACAATGGGAGCTAAGGGACTGAAATTTCAGGGGATGTCCCTCTGCTTACGTACGACGCCACATGTTTGAATCCATCCTTCTCGTTCGCCTGAATACCACCTATGGCCCTGTGAAAGTTTTGCAACGAAACTATCATCTCTGGAATCCCTAAGGCTGGAAATCTGAAACTTTTGGGTAATGTCCCCTGCTCACGTACGACCCTACAAATTTGAATTCAGCTTTCACGTAGGCCTGGGTCCCACGTACGGCTCCATCTAAGTTTTGTCGGGAGGAACTGTTATCTCGGGAGCGAGAAGAGCTTGGAGGCTGGAAACTTCAGGGGGATATTTTTTTGTCTGTACAGGGGCCTAACAAATTCATATTTAGCTCCCATGTTTGAGGAGGTCTCAAAGTACTATCACACGAATGTTTTGGCATGAAAGTTACTCGGAAGCCAGAGAAGTAGGGGGTCGGAATTTTGGAACGTTATTCATCGTCCAAAGTTTCGAATTCAGCTTTCACGTGCGTTTGTGTTCCACGTACCGGTGCGTGAGATTTTTAATGGGAAATTTCGTAGTTAGGAACCGAACAGCATCTCGACTACTTTTTCACGGTCCAAAGTGTAAAATAGTGAAAATTCTTAGCAGGCAAACTTTAGCAGGACGGAACCGTGTAAGACGCATGTATTTTTTTGTGAGTCAAAGGATCTTATTAGTTCATTGTCCTGTCGCAGTACGTCCACTTGTGAATTTTATGAAAGATTTAGGTTGTGACACTGACATTAAAGCAAGGTTTGGTGACACCAGGCTCCTCAATCCCAACACTGATTGCTATGTCAACGGATCCCGAACCCCGTATTCGGTCGAGTGTTGAGCGTGCGCTCAGGGATATTGATTCGAAATATTCGGGCATGGTCATGGTATGGGTTTTTTGAATACTTGTTCCTTCATTTCAGGTGGGTAACTGTGATTCAGTGCTGTGGTATTTTCTTTTTCTGAATCTAAGGACTTAACTTTTTTAATATTGTGGCTTATGTTTGTTGCTTTCAGAGTAAGGCAATTACCGGCATACGCCAAGCATTTCGCTTGCGAAAAATTCTGAAGATTGATGCCAATAATATCGTACGAGGTATACGCTCTCTTGAACTTTTGCCAACGCCATCAACTTCGGGTGAGTGTGGGGCACTTTCATTCTTATAATTTGAAGTAAAAATCAAAATCTGCTTCATAATGAGTCGATTTTGAAGTTTGAAGGATTGACTTGTGCAAATTTGAATTTTCTGTGGCGTAAAACGCAAAAACTGTGTCAAAGCACGGAATATTTTATTCTGTATGAAAATTTGATATTCTGAAAATCTTGTTGGGTGTCGCATTCCTAGCGCAGTCACCTTCTGACAGGGATATCGGCTTTTTCTGTGAATCGCTGTAAAAATAAATTGGATATTGTCCACAGAAACAAATTGTTGGCTGTTTCGTAGAAGCATAGTTTCTGTTATGGGCTTGAGCTTGAATGTAGGCACTGCTAGCCATCACATCAAGCTTATCAGCTTTCAGTTAAGAAAGGCCAAGATCTCTCAGTATTTAACAGTTAAAGTCCACAACCCTGTATTATTACTGCCTTCTTTATTGCCGTATTCAGGACCTGTAGAAAGTTCGAAAGCGAAAGTTTTTCATCGCGTTCCGGAAAAGACCGTTAATGGGCAGGCTATGCTGTCTGGACTTTATCAAAATTTGCGAGGTGTTCGGCAGCAGCGGAGAAGCTTCCTCTCATCTGTTCTTCGACTTTTTTCCGAGGATTCTCGAGAGGTTTTTACCGAA